TTTTTTTTCTTTTCGTAGTTGGTTACTCACATTTACTATGAACTCTAGATTAAATTTTAAAAATTCTATATATAGTCAACTCTTTTTCAAGTACAATCTGAGTTTTTTATTAAAAGAATGAAATCTTGCATCGAGTGAGAAATTGTATACAGAGAACGTAAGGAAAAAATCGGGTAAGCTATGGTTACTAGCAATCATGCGAATATTGAAAAAACCTGAATAATACTGATTTATATACTTCAAAAAAAGCTTTACATTTAGGAAGTATTTATTAGAACTTCGTTTAGAGATCAGTTGATCTCATGCTGGTATCTTTGATATATTCGATTGGTGTATAATTTGTATCAAGATTCACTATATTATGTCAATAAAGTTCACATTTAATATATGTAATATTTATTGCATGTTGAGATAATTGAATACCTTAATGAAAGCATTGATTTGTCCTCGACCCCAATTTCGATTAATGAATGCGATGCCTGATTTTCAATTTTTGCACGAAAACTAAAATGCCAAAAGGGATATTAGAAAAAACAAAATCTAATCGCGAAGATCAGCCCAAATTCACGAATAATACTATACTAAAAAATTCCAGCTAATTTTAACCGATAATAAATCGCTGAACCAAAGTTTTGTGGTGAATAAATATAATGGGTTTCAAAGTTAACAAATAAGTGATGCATTTCGAAAATAAATAGGATTTTTTCAATAGCATTTTTACTATGTTGAATTATAAATCAGAAAAATAAGGTTCTCTGAATTTAACTTTGAAACCCCCTAATAAGGCAAATTTATGAAATACCTCAAAATTTGAAAACCTTGACTATTAATATGCAATACTAATTCTTGATTGCTAATTAATATTCTCAGATTGGTGCATTATATACAAACATTCATGTCTATATAAGGATAGGTTAACTGATAGAAAGAAGACATGCTATCAATATAGACTAGAAGTTCAACTCACTTTTTGTAGATTTAGCATAGTTGGTTAATATATTATTCGGTAGCTAAATTTCAGAACTTAATTAATAATTTTTTTTTTTTTTAGTTTCAGATACCTATATTACTCTTTCAATTCCAATTTTCCACTTTAGCAAATTTTAATGATTCAGTAATAAACTTATTCGGACAAATCGACAAATGCTATATATCAATTCATCTTTACAAAATGCTTATTTTTTCGACTCCTATCCTATTAAGATTCTTATTTAATCAAACTAATAAATGCATTATACACATTTTTTTCAGCTCCAATTCTACTGATGTCTTTCAACAAGTTAATAAATACTTATGTTTATTTTTTTCTAACCCCAATTAGATTTAGATTATGCCTCTTCTGTACGTTTAGTTTTTTCAAAAATGTCCAAATTTTAAAAGACCCAGGTAATACCAAATGCCATATGTTCTTTGTATTCTGCTGCAAAAAAAAATAAATCGAATTAATATTTATGAACTGCTATTAATAGTGTATCATAACTAAGTGTCATATATTACCATAAACCATTCATATTTAACAGTATGTATATTCTTCAAGAATTTTATAATCATTCATCAGTTTTTCTAAAAATTGCAACGGCATACTTTGTTTTACAGCCCGAGATGTTCTTTTAATCCAATTAGCTATAGTGGACACCTTGGGCACATCTTGGTATTCAATTTCTCCAAGTTGTGCACGTCGTAATAACTCCATATGCATTTCAGTTGCATGCATTGGTTGCTCCAGAATGAAACATAACCCCTAGTAATCCCTTTACTTTTTCAGTTAGTCGTTTTACCGGATCTTTTTAATTAGCTTTGAGATTTTCTTGTAGCGCCCAACCTGGAACAAATATTGTGTGACTAAAATAAAAACATTATAAAAATATAATCCAATATAATAAATACTAGCCAAATTTCAAAAAAAAATAAAAAATAAAATGCAAAAAGATAGTTAATATGTACCTTCTAGATGGAGTATCTAATTCCATGTCTGTTATATCTGCCAGATTTATTAAAATTGAATTATTGTTGCTATTTACACTTTTAATATAAATTGTATTTATTAGCTAAATGTTAACTGGTTGAATGATATATAAAATAATAACAAGTCTTACCTCTTCTTGACTAATTAATTCTTTTTTATTTTCTAAAAAAGATTGTTATGTATATAGTAGTGCAAGTTATATTATATTAAATTATACAAAGAATTATATATAACACACCTTGAATAGAAGAATGAAAAGCGGTCCAAGTTTTTGTTGGTTGTGTATGAATAGTTGAAGATGGATTTGGTTTTTCAAAAACATAATCCTTTGTAATTTTTTGTAATTGTAAGGGACTAAATTTATATAAAGGTCCAAATCCTGGTAAGGATCGTGTACAAATATATCCTGCATTATCTCCCATTTCAGGCCATGTAAATTCATGCCATGTTGAGATTCCCGGAAGTGTGCATAATTTTTTTTTGTCTAAATATAATTTAGAATAAATTAATATTTTAAAAATTTAATATGTTGAATTGTTAATTAACTAAAATTCATGTAATTGCAATCTTATATGATATTATCTAAATTACGATTTGGTTCAAGATTAGCTACATGCATTCCTGATAAATTTTTTATTGCATTTTCTATATCTTCCCCTGATTTGATATCATACCCTAACTTAACCCATCTTTTT